CTGCTGCTTGCGGGACGCCGCCACTGCAACCGCGAATCAAATCTGCTGTTATCAGGGATGCCGTCCTGACAAAATTTGGATATTTCCAACAGTGCTATCAGCGCGTAGAGGCAAATAGTTGGATTGTTTATAGCGAGAAATCGTATCACACAAAGAATGAGCGCACAGTGCGGGTTTTCACTCTTCCGTTCTCCAGCCCTGCCCCCACAAAAGCTCCCCGCTGTCCCAGCCGCCCCCTGCGGCCCATTTCTCGTTCCAGTACGAACGGGAGGAGGCTGCGTTCCTCAGCTGCCCCTTTCTCCAAACCGTTCCTGGGAGCGGTGAGTTCATTTCTCTTTGATCTTTTCCTACAGCGCCTGTTTCTCACATAAAGGCTCCGGCATCGCCTTTGTTTGCTCTACAGCCATTACACCCTTAGAGCTCCAAGGACCTTTGCAGCGACCCCGCAGACCCTACAGACCCCTCTGCCCACTTACGCACCCCGTGTGTCCCACGGCCCCCCTGCGGCTTCTGCAGCCCTTCTGCAGTTCCACGTACGTCCTGCAGCGCTTCACAGCGCCCCAGGCTCCTACAAAATCGACGGGGCCCCTGGAGCATCCCTGCAGCACCCCGATAGCTCCCGGCACGCCACGGCGCCCCCAGCAGCCCAATCCCCATAGGCTCCATAGGCCCCACAGCCCCCCTCCAGCCTCCCAGCCCTGCTCTCGGCGCCGCCGTTTCCCGACAGTCCCCGCGCAGCCGCCGAGGGTCGCGTTTCCCGGCGCGCCCGGCGGCGGTGGCGGCGGGGCGGAGCTTCGGGTGGGCGGGACCGTCTGCATGGGCGGGGCCGCACGCAGCCAATCGGGAGAGAGCGCTCGGCGGCGGCGTTGCCATAGAAACGGCGCCGCCCCCATGGCGGCGGGCGGTGCGGAGCGGCGGCTCCGGTACTTGACGACACGGGAGGTGGCGGAGGCCGGGCGGCCCCTGCTCAGTGCTCTCGGCCGCGTTTACGACCTGGGCCCGCTGCTGCGTGAGCGCCGCGGTTGGGGGGGGGCCGCCGTGGGGGTGGGTCCCGGTGTGGGGGCTCCGAGTCCGACCTTCTTCCCCAGGTGGCGTCACCCTTGCCCCCCTGCTGGCCGCCGTCGGCACGGACGTGAGCCGCTGCTTTGACCCCGAGAGCGGCGACGTGAGTGGGACGGGGGGCGGGAGCGTCCCCGGGCTCGGGGGGCTTCGGGGCGGGGCGGTGCTGTCCCTGCGGAGCGGGGGAGGGGTCCCGGCGCAGTTTTCGGGGCCCGGCGCGGTGTCGGGCGGTCCCGGTGCCGGTGTTTGCAGTCCCAGGGCGGCGGGGGTGCGAGCTGGGCGATCCCGGTGCGAGACGGGGATCCCCGCACGGGCGGGACGGGGCGGCGGCCTCCGATCCCGGCCACGCGCGTCAGGCGTCCCTCCCACCGGCAGCCGCTGCCCCGCGTGGAGCCCCGCACCGGCCAGACCGGCTCCCGGTACCCGCTGGGGACCCCGGGCGGCTCCCGGCCCCTCGCGCCGCGCTCAGACGGGGTCCTTCCGTGGCACGCCGCGTGGTGGCGGGACCCCCGGCTGCAGGTGGGACGTCTGACGGCCGCCCCCCGCCTGTTGCGCCTCTACAACGCCCTGACGGGCCAGAACTGCGTCATCGAGGTCAGTGGGACGAGGGGCACCCGGGCCCCGAGATACGAGCCCGCACCCCGGTGGGATCCTGCTGTCCCCAGCGACGTGCTGGGAACCTCGGCCCCGTCCCCTTCCCTTCTTACGGTCCCCCAGGTGTGCGGGGAGGAGCCGGTGGGAGCGGCGCTGCGGCGGGCGCGGGGCTGGCAGGAGCAGCTGGAGAAATACACGGCGTGCTACGGCGGCGTCCCGCTGAACCCCCACCTCAGCCTGGAGCAGAACGGGATCCCGGACAGCACCTCCGAGCTGCGCAGCCTGCGCCTCGACCCCAAGGACTTCATCCCCACCGTGTTTCTCTACTTCAACGATGACGCTGGCAGCGCCAGGGAAGGTGGGACCTTTAAGCACCCCCAAAACCCTAAGATAGGCCCCTCGCCTCCTCAAAACCCTCACACCTCCCCCCTTGTCTCCTCCCACCCGGAATGCACAGGACTCCCCAAAAAACTCCCCAGGACCCCGTCCTTCTCAGAACCCTTAAAACCCTTCAGACTGCCATAAAACTTCCCAGGACCCCCAGACCACCCCAAAACTTCCGCCCCACTCTTCCTTTTCCAGCCCTGCAGTGACATCTTCCCCACCCTGGGCTGTGGATGGTACTATGGGGGCACTACGCCCATTCTGGATTCCAGTTGTGTTTTTGCAGCACAATAAAGCTGTTTTTTTTTTTTAATTATTATTTGTTGTTGAAAAATTGTTCTGTGCGTGGTCACGGTGGGGCAATGCAGGATCCCGTGGTTTAGGGGCACCCCTGAGGATCTGTTTGCGAGGAAGAGCCTGGTGCTAATGAGCAGCCCTGCTAACAAAGGGCAAACGACCCCTCAACCTGTGACCCTGCTGTCCTTCCCCCATGACGATCTCCCAGCGGCCCTGAGGAGCTCCTGTGCAGATCCAAGGCTGCTGTTGGTGTTCCGGTCACTGCGGAGGAAGGCTCCCACCCCGTGCACCCATCTGCTGTGCACACCCGCCGGTCGCAGCTCAACCTGCCATGGGACACAAGGTCGCATCCTCCCAAGGGGCTGGAAGAGGGGGGATTGGACACGATCCCATGGCACCCCTGGAGCCCCTAAAGTCCCTGTGTCACGGTTCTATGCTTTTTTTTGGTTTTTTTTGTTTTTTGTTTTTTTTTTGGGTTTCAGTATTCCACATCAGAACTTCATGCAGTGTACGAGGCATTAAAGTGTCACTGCCCCAATCCCAGGTACCGATCCCTGTGCATTACAGCAGTCACGGGATCTGGCCCTTCCAGCTGGCCGCTCTCTGGCTGCCTTGCACTGGGTGCTGCAGGCGCTTTCCTGGCCGTTCCAAGCTGTTCAGGTTTGACTCGGTCCCGGGAACTCTCTCTCTCATCTTGTCTGTTTTATTCATCTCCATTTCAATTTAATTGTATCTATTGTGATATCTTGTATTCCGCTATTACAGTACAATCAGTTTTCCTCCATAGATTGCTGCCGCTGCTCTTCTCCTTCCTTCCTTCCCATTTCTGTGGCACTGGGGTGGGGGCAGGCAGAGGCCTGGTGCCCTGTCACGGATGTAGATTGATCTGGTCAACGCCGTGACACATTATTACTGAATTATGTGATTAATTCTTTCTTGCAAAACTGTAATAGTTGTTAAATGTTACGAACAATGCGAATATAGCATTAGGGATCAGAAAACATCTTGTTCTGTCAGGATAAGAAACTGCCAGCAAAAGAAAAATAGATGTAGCAACCATCAAAGGAGTTGGGGCCTCTCCACGAGGCCGAACCGCCTCACTCCTAAGGAGGCTGGGATGTGCCAGGCACCAAGAGCCTCCCCTGCTTTTCTGCCGAGCTCATCTTTGTGGAAAGGACAGGCAGATATCCGCAAAATAACGATCAGGTGTGGAATAAGTTAATTAATGAACTACGGATTTACGCTTATGCAGCAAAGATTTGTTTGTTGAGTGTTTCCATGTTTAGTGAAGCATCAGGAAGATTGTGAACCTGCGATACTCAGCCAGTGAGGAACCAGGGCAGAACGAGATCAGTGTCGGGGAATAGGGAATAAAAGATGGAACTGTTTTTCTGGGTGCTCTCCTGCTTGCAGGAGGCCCAGCATCGCAACTGTGGGAATCAAATGATGTTTCTGCATTAGAATTGTATAATATTATTTTTATTTCATGATCTCCGCTATCATAGTTCTTTTTGGGAGTCCCTCTACTTCACTTGAGGAGGATCTCTGATAAGTGATTTAAACTTACCGTATAGACGAACCTTCCCAGGCACGCACACTGTATAGAGGTGTATAGATGTA